GTTGGTTTGTTTCCCCCCCCCCCCAAACTACTGAAGATCTGTCATTGAGTAATGAAGTGAATATAGGAGCATAGTAGCATAGGAGATTATCGCATCCAGAAATCCCACTGGGATAGATGCGGCATTTAAAAGTAAAAAATTGGTGTTATTGCATTTACCTGCTCCCAGGCGGTGTGCAGCCCATCCCCATCCTGAGCAGCCTGTCTGCAACCCAGACTTTTGCTGCAGTTAGGACTTCTGCTCCATCCTTGACTATTATCTCCATAGTCTCTGCAGATGTGAATTAATTAATGAAATAATACTTTCTGGATCTCTGTGTGAACATACATATGTACCTTTAGTACTGTTAAGTAGTTTTTACATTCTGAGGTCAACATTAATAATTCACAACCAATACTGTTATTTGGGGCCTAACTTTTATGCCATTTATTTCTGCATTTGGCTTAAGCTGATACTAAAAATAATTGAAATACTTCCTTATATTCAGCACTACTTAGTAGTAAAGTATTACACAGTGGCCCAGATTCTGTCACCTGGTTGTACATTGTAATATTGCGATAGTGTAGAACTATGCTGGATCACATAATTGCATAATTTTCACATAGTGGAAAGTACAGTTGTGCATGTTTGTTTGTTATTGGGTCAGTAAAGTGAGAGAATTTTGCATAATTTTCATGTAATTAAAACTAGGGTTCTTTTTTAGGGAAGGAAATGCCCAGATTCAATCAATGTATGTTACTCCATCAAAAGACATTTTTGAGGCAATGTACAGGTATTGTAGCATTATTATTTTTCAGTATCTTCTGGATTTGTTGAATCTATCTCAGGATGCTTCCTCTCAGGTGATACATTTGTTGTGTGACTGCTTTTTAATCACACTTCCAGCGTGAGTTTGCTACCTCCCTTATGTTGTTTTCCCCCCTTTCCAGGATCTCTATGGTGACAAAGGAGGGGGGGGGTCCTAGAACATGCCAAACTGACCAAACATTTTTTTTAAAAAAAAAAACCTTTAATGTCTGAAATGAGATTGCAAGCAATCATGCTAACTTGTCAATGGTATTCCCATTTTGCAAAGGCCAGCTGTATGTCAGACTTTGTACACAGCCATCCTTTCTGCTTATCTTCCATTTTAATTTTGAATTCCTAGTTCAGAGGAAGGGGTGCAAAGTTTCTCCAATGCCATGGATACTGCCTGGAGTATATATGGTCAGGAAATGATGTCTGCATTTGATCTTTCTTGTTTCCCTGCTGTTTGTGATCTGGGAGGTATGTACCAGAAATTCTCAGCTGCCTTCCTTTATCTTAAATTTGAAATCCTATAGATTTGGGGGATTCTCCAATTATATTAATGGAGGGAATTCAATTGATTTGGGAGATCACAGAATCATAGAGCTGGAAGAGACCTCAAGGGCCATCATGTTGGAACATCTTATTAAAAGAGGTAATTTATCACTATTAATATTGACTAGGAGGTTGCCAGAGACACTTTTTCCCCACTTTGAGCAGTTCTCCTAAGACAAGGAGGAGAACCAGGAGACTGGGCTCCAATAGCTGAAATCTGTGGAGGGAGACGAAAGCTTTGATAGTCACCCTCCAGTTTCTGAGGCCTTTGAGGGCAAAACTAGAGCCCCTAAGAGAGATCTGTCTCCTCACCCCATCTCCTGCAACAGTAAGAAAACCCAGACAATAAGCCAGACCACCCTTATGAAAACATCAACAGCAGAAACAACAGCTTCAGCAAGGCCAGTTGTGAAGGAGTGTTAGGACTAAAGAGCATAACAAGACACTTCCCTTGATGACTGAGAATAAAATGCTTCAGATAGCAGGCCGCTGGTTTCAACATCCTTCTTCCTATCCCAGTTATTTCACTTTTGCTTCCTGAATTTCTTTGGTTTCTTGACCTTGGCACATTCTTTGGTGCCCTCTGTGGCTTGCTCCTTGATTGATTCTTCAACTAGCCAGACTGTTCTTTGTGTCTGACCTTGATCTGGACTGTTGCCACATCTCTTTCCCTTCTCCTTTAACCTCTAACACCTTGTGCCAACATTTTCTCAACCCCATACTGGCTTTCTGCCCATCCCCTGCCTGTTGCTTGCAAATATTCATTCAGATCTATCCTGAGATCTTCAGATATAAGATGGTGTGTGTATGTTTTTGTGTGTGTAATAAATTAATGAACCAGAATCTCCTTCCTTCCCTGAGGATGGCATCACAATGGAGTGCATGTGTAAACTTCAGTTTGGAAGAAGAAAACAGACTAACGGGGGTTGCAGACTGCCAGAAATAGTGTGAATTCAGTCCACTTTTAGGGTTAGGGTTAGAGTTAGGGAACCATGGGAACTGTATTTTATTGTGGCACCAGAGCTCTCTGACAGAGAAGGCTCAATGTCTCAGGAAAATAACAGTTCCCATGATTCCCTAGCACTAACCCTAACCCTAAAAGTGGACTGAATTCACACTATTTCTGGCAGTCTGCAACCCCCCTAAGTGCAGTCAGAATATCAGAGAGCTGAGTAGGCTATGGAAGCATCTTGGGAGATTGCCGCACTACACTCTTATAGTCTTGCTATTCCACTTTAACAGAAGCAACTGAAATAAGATTTTAAGTTTATACTCTAAGGTTTTCCTTGTGGGGGCAAAGCAAATGGGGCAGAAGGAGTGGCTAGAGGACACTCCTGCCTCGATCGCCATGGGACCACAGCAACCAGATACTGTGGTCCTGAGAGCACCTGTTGCTATGGTCCTGAATGAGCCGCAAAAAGGAGAGTGGTAAGAACCCGCTCCTTTTGTGGCTAGTTTTGGGCTGCATTAAGTGGCCCTGGCATGGGCTTTGCATGGCCTCTGCATGATCCAGGGGTTTGCATCATGTGCATGCCCCACCCCCAGATCAGCCTGATGCAGTCCTTTGGGGCCATCTGTTAGGGGCCCATGGTTGCTAAAAGTTTTGTGATAGGATCACCTTAGGGTCTTCATAAGTTGAAGTGACTAACAACAACTAGGTATAGCAGATTGGTACATTTTTATGTATGCTAACAAAAACTGTTTGCACATGGATTCCTTGGTAGCAGACCTTTGAAATAAAGATTCAACATAATCTTTAGAGGATTTTTCAAGAGTTCCTGCTGCTAGTGGAGCTTTGTGTTTTTGCTCAAAATAATCCATGAACTATTAAATCCTCAGATGCTAACCCAGTGAACATCTCTGCATGATCCATGATAATGTTGTAAGCCGCCCCAGTTGCATTACACAGAGGAGTGGGATATTTCAGCTTGATAATATTGTGAAATTATTACAACCACCCCCTCGGCATTGCTGAAATTTTCTACAAAAATGTTTAGGAAGATATTTCAAATGCAGTGTATTTTATTTTACTATTCATTCCTTTCCATTCTGTTCTTTCTTTAAGGAGGAAGTGGGGCTTTAGCTAAAGAATATATTTCATTGTACCCAAATGCTACTGTGACCATTTTTGACTTACCAAAAGTAGTGAAAAGAGCAAAGAAGCAGTTTGTGACTTCAGAAGAATGCCAGATTTCTTTCCAGGAAGGTAAAATATAATTTATTCTGAAATTGTAACCATTTAATTAATGCTTTAGAAGCCAGACAGCTATAAATAAGAAGGTCCAGTAGAAAACAATGTGTATTTTATTATACCCTGGGTAAATCTTCCAGTTACTGTATATACTCATGTATAAGTCTAGAAAGTTTAGTAAAAAAATTGACTCCAAAAGCCTGAGTTGACTTATCAACGAGTCAATGTAAGTACTGTACTGTACTTTAATTCTTATTTTAAAAAGGAATCATCCCCTGGTGAAAGGCAAGAGTGTAATCTGTTCTGGACTCACTCACACCCTCTTTATATTCTCTCATCCACAAAAGCTTTAGTATGAGCACAGACAATTATGCCTGCTAGAATTTTGTAAGTTTTCTGGCACTGTTTCTCTCTGCTTCATCCTTTGCATCCTTTGTTACATACCCCTACGTTTTATTCTCAACTTATCCATGAGTCATATCTAAATCCATAATTTTGGCCCTCAAATCTGCCTTCAGCGTATACATGAGATAAACTTATAGTAGAGTATATATGGTAGGTAGAATGAGGCAACTACCTTAGGCAACAGGTACTGGGAGAAAGCAATAGCAGATCTATACATGGCTCACATCCTGTTGTGTGAACCTCTAAGGTCACAGTGGAGGACACTGTCCTTTCAACAGTGCTGATGTAAAATTCACCTGGTAAAACATCAAGCTTTTTTTACAGTGAGTCCTTGTTATCCTCTGGGGTTTGGTTCTAAGATCCCTCATGAATAACAAAATCCGTGGATGTCCAAGTCCCATTAAATATAATAGCATAGCAAAATGGTGCCCCTTATATAAAATGGAAAATCAAGGTTTGCTATTTGGAATTTATACCTTTTTTTCAATATTTTCAAGCTGTGAATGCTTGAATCCGTGGATAAAAAGTTTGTGCTTAAGGAGACCCAACTGTATGTGAAAGAGCATGAGATATCCATCTTGTTCCTTTCCTCTAAGGCATAAAGAAATGTTGGATTCACACTGACTTCCAAAAGGTAGAAATCACTGGTTCTTGTGTAAGATGCTATGCTTAATTAAACAAATCTCTCCTATTTCATTGCAGGTGACTTTTTAAAAGATTCAATTCCTGAAGCTGACCTATATATATTGGCTAGGATCTTTCATGACTGGGATGATGATACATGTATGCAACTGCTAACTAAAGTGCACAAGGCCTGCAAACCTGGTATGTGTACTTAGATGATAGCAGATATGGCCAAGACTGGTCTTTATAGCCTATGATGAACAAGCAACCACTCCTGGGCTTACCATATGCATTACCTTGTCAAATGCTGACAGAAGCATCAAGGGACTTACTAAAAGTTTGAGAAACAGCATGCATTAAGGTTCTGTCCAAACTGGTGTTCACAGTGAATAGCAGCAGTAATCCAGGATTTTAGGCATAATTATTTTCCAACCTTACATGAAGGGAGCAGGAATTGAACTTGGGACCTTTTACATTCCAAGTGTGTACTTTGCCACTGAGCTAATCCATTCCCACCAGATTTTTGTTGTTGTTGTTGTCCTCTAGAGGCTTCTTTCCATTTTTCTAATGTCCTCAGTGCATTGATTGAATACAAGGCTGTTCAGCCTTTTTGTTTCAGATGCCTCGTCTACTCTCATCTTGAGTTTCTGGACACCAATTCTATTATAGACCCTTTTCAGTCTGGTTTCCACCTATGGCACTCTACAGAGACTGCTTTCCTGATCTTTGCAAATCTCCCAATAGTCACATGGCCAGAAGGAGGAGGGGCCAGCCTGAAAAAGATACCCTCCACTTACCATCTGAACTAAGGACAGAAACATCAAAATGCAGGCATCTGACTAACATCTCCAGTTTTTTTTCTCCTGTTTGGTTTATCACATCTTGCCTGATGAAGAAGCCAGTGGAGCTTTGAAAGCTTGCAACAAGTATATTGTGCATTTTGGTTGGCCAATAAAGGTATCACTGTTTAGTGGATTTTTGTTTGAATTTGCTAAATGGCCAACACAACTACCTCTGCATGTTTCACAACTTTATGGTTTGTGAGTGAGTGGCTGAAGTACAGGCTTTTAACCACTGCACCACCAGTGAGAGAAGAGGTTACATTTTTTCCATTATTACCCATTCAGTTGTGCCTGTTGTAGAAAACTGTGTGTACATGTGCACAGGGCAGCCAACATGGGATACAGCCTTTGGGCCTTAAAAACATGTGCACCCTCTAGTAGGGATTATTCAGCATAGTCTCCTCCTCCTTAGACTGGCCCATATTTCCAATGGAAGGGATCATGTGCTTAGAGCAGCAATATTATCTTCTTTTTCTTAAATCAACAAAATATGTTTTGGAACAGGTGGAGGACTGTTGTTAGTGGAACTGACTCTCGATGAAGACAGAAGTGGACCTTTGGAAGCCCATATACGTTCCATCATGATGTTGCTTTTTAATAATGGAAGAGAACGGACTTTCTCTGAGTACAATGCACTTCTCAGTGCAGGTGGCTTCAAGGAGATTCAGTTCAAGAAAAAAAGTTTTTACAGTGCCATTTTGGGAAGAAAATAATCTTGTCTCTACTCCATTCATGTTCAGCACCTAAAGCAGATGGTAAACATGTGTCTATCTGTATGTTGTTGGATTCCTGTTCCTATCAGTCTTAGCCTGTCTGGTGAAAGATAGTGAACAAAATAAATTCATCAAAATGTAGAATTCCATAGGTTGCCTGCCCACAAACCTCTGTGACTTCCCTAAATCTTCTTTCACAAATTTGTGCAGATTTTGAAAGTGTACAGGGATGAGAGAAGAAATAACTCCTGTTCTGAACAATGGTGCCCAGACTCTCTGTGGCTACTTTCTCTACCTCCCAAGTAATCACTGCATACAGTGGTATTTTGGGGGGGTGGGTGGGATGGGCATATTATAGCCTTATGTGCCCATTACTGTTTTAGACTATGTAAAAGCATGCACTAAGAACCTATAACTTTATTTCCCAAAAATACCTTGTCAGCATATGGAGACACTGGACAAACACAGTTTGATTATAATGTGTGTGTCCAGATTGCTTTTAACTCTTCTTGTTTATTCTTTGCAGGCAAACATACTCACCTTAAATTGTAAATATCTTTGTTACGCTATGAAATGATACTCAGACATAGCACATTACTTCCCCCTTGAGGTTATATAAAGAAATGCACATTATTCCCAACCATGGAGAAAGAAGTGAAGAAACTAAAGGAGGAAGGACAGAAGGGAAGGAAGGAAAACCAGGGAGGCATAAGGGAATGGGCTGGAAAGTAAACAAACAATGGGAGGAATAATATAGGGAGACAAACAGCTATTGGGCAGCAGCAGTAATGGGGGTGTCATTGACAGGAGTGAATTGTGACACCATAGCTAATATTGGTTAGCACTGCTCACTGGGAGGTGTAGGTGGCCCTCTTTGTGTAACCCTATCACCAAGTGAGACACAGGCAGGATCAGAGCATTAACAGAAAGGGAAGGAGGGAGAGAAAGGGATATCACACTTGCAAGATTAGCCAAGGGCATGAGAAAGATGCCAAAACAAATAGCAGACACCCTTAGGAAGGCAAATGGC